CTAAACAAAGCTGGACTCTGGACTTTTTTTAAACTAGAGGTGCGAAAACACCCTGCTGAGACAGAGGGGGTTTTATGGCCCTTTAAAAGGACACATGGCTTGTCCTCATAAACCACCTCCATACTGTATTACCTAGGTCATACCAAGACTCACACGGAATCTGCGCGTGCAGATATCTGCAGATAAATTTATTTTTATTCAGTTTTTAAATGAATTTCACTAATATTATTGTGATATAATAATAGTTATATTAAATGTTTATCCGAGTTATTTACAATACAGTTTGTAATATTTTTTGTTTTTTAGTACATATATTATACAAAAGACTTGCTTTGTTTGCCAAATAAGTGGATCTAGTTGGTAATTAAAATTTGTTTTTTTTTGGTTTCATATATTAAGTTTTTAGTTATGATACTCCTAAAATAATTCCGCATAAATCCGCAGATTTTTTTTTTTTTTTTTACAAAATTCTGCGCAGAAATAGCAAAAAATGTCCTCATATTCCATCTGGCACTAGTCATACCCAAGTCAGTGTACAAACTGTCCTTGTTAACCACATAAACCAGTACAGACACGCACACACAAGAGCACTAAGTCTGGTTAAGCTTCTATTCTTCCCTATCAAATTCAGGTCAGTGTGCATTAGTGAACAAAGTTTTTTCAACATACTGTTGTTCACACACACATGCACACATGCTTTTCAAACACCGATGCATCAGCTTAAAATTATGTTTGCTTGCATGTATGCATGTGTATTTGAATGTAAACATACAGTACGGTGAGTTAATTATGTGTGTGTGTTTCTAGGTCATACTCTATATCCTCTAAGTAAGTTATATGAGCCTACAGGCAATCTGTGCAGCGCTGTCTCTCTTAGACTAAACGTGACTTCACAAATAACAAACTTCAACAGACTCATCAGATAGCACAGAGCCCTCTTGACTTTGTTATGCTGATGTTCTTGAGCAAATGCACTAATAAGCAACTAGTAAAGCTTGTACTGAGAGGCTTTTAAAAGATACACATCTTACGGACACACATGCACAAAGGAAAATGAAAACAGAAGCAGAATTAAGACTTTGAAGCTTTGTGAAACTCCAGATGTTTAAAATCAGAGTCAATGAGCAAGCCCTGAAGAGACAGTAAAGACTGAGCGCATGTGTGTGTGTGTGTGTGTATCCCAGGATGCCGCTGGTTTAACTTCTTGACCCTGACTCTAGAGCTTAAATGGTAATATCTCTATCCTCCTCTCCTCAGGTCTAGCTGTTTTTCTTTTCAAAGAGACACACACATACACACACATACACACACTGCTTTAAACGTTCCAAAGCCCACAAAAATGTTAAAAGGCCTGCAGGGCAGAGCTGCAGTGGAAGCTGACAGTGCTCGTATGAAAGGCGAGGTTCAGTGGGAGACACTGTTTGACTATAACAGACCATCTAAATGCTTCAACATGTGCAGAGATCTGGAAGACAACTGTGTCAAAGTTTACTTTAACACTTTCATGTTCAGTCACACAATTGTGTTTATAAAGCGGCTCCAACTATCAATAGCTTAAATACACAGTTTTGCCATAACATCGTTAGATTAAATGGTTTTAAAGATCTGACCCATTTCTGATTCTATAAAAAGGGTTGTTGTGCTTCTGTGCCTTTAAGACCTCATGTGAATGGCCTCTTCACATGAGAATAATCAAGCATGTTTTGTTATTGGCTTCAGAGAATTTTTTATTTACACACGCTTCATTCTTCATAACCACGTTTCTTTAATGCCTCCATTATTATTATTATGACAGGTGGGTAAAACATTTCATTGTGAAATTGAAATTGTCATGGTCAGATTTAAAAATATATCAGATTTCTTCTTCTGTGACAAAAACAAATATATATCTCAGTGAGAGCATTCACAAAATACGTGGATAACTATCACAAATTTGATTATTTCAGAAACTGCTTTTTAAGTGTTTTAAGTTAGTAAAGCGGCTATGCAGAAAAATAAGTTTTCATGAGATTCTAAAGATTTTTTATGAGATTTTTTAATTTATTTTTAAAAATCTTTTTTAGCGGGTTTTCACCTTTGATTGGGATAGGATAGTGGAGGTTTCAGACAGGAAAGTACTGGGAGCAGAGAGAAGGGAAGAGTCGGCAAAGGACATCAAGCCAAGAATCGAACTCGGGTCACCGTGAGCACCATGGTGCTATATGTCGATGGACTTAACCTTTAGGCTATTGGCGCAGATGACTTTTTTAGTTTTGACAATTCTGAATCAACTGTATGAACTGACAACATGATTTTGTGCTTTTTTTATGGCGACAATAAACAAATAAGACCAGTTACACACTGGGGCTAAGCAGGGCTGAGCTTGGTCAGTAGCTGGATGGGAGGTCACAGGGGAAAGCTAGATTGCTGTTGAAACTGGTGTTAGTGAGGCCAGCAGGAGGCGATCAACCTGTGGTCTGTGTGAATCCTAATGCCCCAGTATAGGGAAGGGGACATTATACTGTCAGTGAGCACTGTCTTTCAGATGAGACTCTAAACTGACTCTCTGTGGTCATTAAAAATCCCATGGCACTTCTCGTAAAGAGTAGGGGTGTAACCCAGTGTCCTGGCTAAATTTCCGCCCTTATCCATCCTGGCCTCCCAATCATCTCCATCCACTGAATTGGCTCTATCACTTTCTCTCCACTCCACTGATAGCCATTGATGTTTCCTACTATTACTTCCATGTTTGATGCGTACCTCGCATGCACAATCAGCAATGCACACATAAATAAACCCCTAGAACACTGACAAATGCATTTACATGCAACACGAAGCTGGGCATTGGGCAAAAAACTACCTGTTTTGATCAGATTTTGTTTTTAAAGCTTTAACTAATAAAAGGTAACATGTTTACATGACATTACAGTGTCCCTTGTTAGTCGCAGGAGTTATGTTTTAAAAATGTTTGCGCAATAGGAGAAATCCACAAAGTAGTCAAAAGCTTTACTTTTTACAATTATTATAGATGTTTTAAGGCTGTAAAACCCTTCACTACACTGTTGTCTCACATAGGCATTAACATTTTCACACCTGTCTCCTTCTAGTTAAACACGCGTGTAACTTCTACCTTCCTTTAGCATGTCCACAAGTGCAACAGTTTGAGCGATGGTTAGCATCTTCCTCTGCCTTTTGGGTGCTACCGTGGATGCCCTTGTTGGCGCAGAATGTTTTGTCAACATTATGGGGTTTGTTGGGGTGAAAACTTGCAAACAAACAGTACAGCACTTCAGAATTTGACTGACAATGGCCAATCAGGATGCAGAACACAATGCGCTGTTCAAAAAAGCATGTCGAATTGCCCTTAAAAAATCAGCAAAACTGCAAGACTGCCAAAGGGGAACCCCATTATGGTGAGGGACCACTGTACACATATCAGCTTATTAAGCAGTAATTGGCTGCAAATGAGCATGTACAGTATGTGTAAATGCATTCACCAGAGCGCCCACACACATCTAACCAGTGTTGGTTCTGGATGTTTTTGTCCCATTCTTTTTTCCATTAGGATTTTGTTAATAGTGTAATTAGCCATGAACCAAAGCAAGCAGTTATATGGAGAATCACAACATTACAGCCATTCAATTGAAGCAAGGATATATGTAAAAATCTGACAAATAGACAAAGATACAAGACTACATAAAGGCTTGAATAAGGGAAAGGACTACAATCCAAAAATCATTGTGAATGACACAATCACATTAAAAATACAGGGAAATATAAAACTACATAAAGGTTCAAGACACCCTGGAGTAGTTTGAGATTTTAACAGATCTGTGTGTTTGTGCATTAGTTAAGACACATGTCAGCTTTAATTGTGGGGAAAAACTGGATAATTGTGAGCTTTTGTCAACTAATTTTAGCTTCCGGGTTAAAATAGTTTTTGTGACAGTATCAAAATTGGTGACGTAGCGCAATGCTGTCAGGCCTGATACAGTAAAGCTGTTTGTGTTTGAGAGCTGTACGAGAATTGGAGAATGGCGGATTTTATCTTTTATCGCCTATACCCGTGCTGCTGTGTTCACCTATGTTTAAAATTCTCTAGATAACCAGCAGAAATAATGGTTGAAATAGACAGGGCAAGAGACCTGCTACACTGCTATCCACTGTTTCTGCATTCAGACCCGAGGATTAAGGAGGAGAGAAGTCCTTCTCATTTAGTGTTTACATAAATATGATTATCTTTATAATGATATAAATTGTGGTTATGTGTATATGAAATTATGAAATACAAATGTAGCAGAGCATTAAATTACTGTTTATTTCTTTGCATTTTAACTTTGCAAACTATAAAATCATGCGTCTCACAGTTTGTGTTTTCAGTCTGTGAGCCAACTGAAAACAGTTTTTCGCTACCCTCTTTCTCCCCCTGCCCACTCCTCCCTATGGTCGCATCCATTATTATGCATGTTTTGGAAAAATTCTGAAGTAGACTTAAACTGAAAAAGGGGGGTTTCATGACCCTTTAAGAGTGCACTGTAAAATATCTCTTGCTCAAAGCAAAGCTCTGATTGGTGGAATCACATCATGTATAATATGATTTGAGTTAACTCAGTTATGAGACACAATGGCTTTCAAATTAAACCCTATTCTAAAGAACTTCTGTGCACACAAGTGTCTTATCTTTAAAGAACCATCAATTATTTTTGTAAAAAAATTATTAAAAAATGTAATTTCTTTTTCATTTTAAAAACCCTGACTGCTGCACTGTATGGTATTTGTAAAACCAAAACGGAGACAAAAAGAAAGATACCTGGCACAAAAATGACATTACTCTGCATCTTAAATGCTGAGAAGAAAGTCACAGGGTTTTTTCTTCCCGTGTTTGTGCGTTTTTGCTCATCCTCAGCAGAATATGGTATAAATCAACATGCTTACACATGCTATATCCGCCACTGCCAGATGAATACCCCCACTTATCTTGCCCTAGCCACTATTATTCTTTTGCGAATGCCTGTACATACCTTCCTTGCAGTCATGTTTGTTCTCATGTAGGATGAAGCCGTTGCGGCACTGGCACACATAGCTGCCAATAGTGTTGATGCACTCATGCTGGCATCCACCGTTATCCTTTGAACATTCGTCTTTATCTGTAACAGAAAGAGAAGAGTGTGATGAACAGTCAATTCCCGAGGAGGCCAATCTGATCCTTCTGATTTCTTTACTTATTTTCATATCCTTTGAATGAGACGTTTGAGTGAGAGATGATGACCTGTGATTGCTGAGAGAACTATAACAATGTGCTTTACAGTGTAATAATAATAAATTCTGACATCTGGAGGCTGATTTTGTTATTAAATTGTATTGAAAGAGCAATTACAGTGTGTGATTAAGGTTAAATGCCTATATCACTTTACTAACCATGTAAGATGTCTAAAAACAACAAGAGAGAAGACAAAATCAGCATTAGTTGAATGCAAAATAAATGTGTATCACAGACAACCTAAAGAAATTTAACTTGCATTTTATGATAAATTCTATACAAATAGAGCCTATCCATATTTAAATGAGTCTATTAACTCAGCACAATAAGACAATTGTTACATGCAAATTAGGTTAATTATAAATGCATATATTTAGGGCTGCAACTACTAATTAATAAAAATAAAAATCATTGAAAATGAATTTCATTGTCAACAAAATTATCGATTAGTTGGGCTGCTCACATGACAGAAGGCAAGGAAAAAATTTACATTGAATGCTTCTAATGCCTAGTTCACACTAAAGGATTTTAAGCCTGATTTGAGCCCGATTTGGAAGTTAACGAGCTCGCCGACAGATCGGGCTGTGATCGGGAAGAAATCTGCGGGTGCTCGGCGCTTGCCGCTCTTTATTTGTGAACTACTGAACAACGCATCAACAAGGCTTGCTGACGCGTTGCCGACACCTCGCAGACGGAAATCCAACATTTAGCATGCTAAATATTCCAGAGCAGTCGACCGACTCAACCCCACGTGTGGTCAGATGTAGTGACGAGCTGCAGCCAATGAGAGAGCATATCAGCATGAGCTGAATGCCTGTGTGTTCAGGAGCTCAGCAGAAACATCTGTGATTGTTCAGAATGGGCATCGGTGCACTCGCTTCATTCTGCGTTAGTAAAGGCATGAGAGTAAGCTATATCTGTAACTATTAGAATTACCATACTGCTCATTCTGACCGTTCTCATATAAAATGCCATATTGTCACAACATATTTACATTCAAAGCTATTATTGAGATATTAAAATTAAGCTTTGAATGTCTGGCATCATATTTAATGACACCATTACCCTAAAAATATAATCTTTTTTTGGTAATACAGCCTATAAATATGTAGTTAAGATACTAAAACACTTAAAGGTCTCTGCTTTCATTTCCACTTTCAAACAGGAGCTATTTCACAGCACAGAATATGCTGTTTTGAAAGATATCTGAAGTAAATTGATGTTTTTGCCATCAGAAAGTTTTGTTTATGTTAGCAGGAAGTTGCTAGGCAAGAAAATGCACACATATTTAAAGTCACAGCGAAAAGTATCAGACATGCATGCAGTCATTTTAACCAATATGGTAATTTAAGGCAGAAATGCTCAGTTCTTTACTGTTTTGTAATAAAAAAAAAACAATGTCAGAAAGAAATACACTGATAGTTAGAAAACCGCAGGGTGTTATAGATATGTTAGTTTTATTTCAAAGAGTTATAAAATTACAAAAATTAAAAACTCTCTGTATATCTATCCACTGGAGCCTTGCAGATGTTTTTAAATGCTTTCTCCAAAGCTTGAAACGCTGTCAGTGATGTCATCAGCACACAAGCAGCCAATAGTGTTCAGCTTTTTCTGACGACTCCTCCCTCAAAATTTCATTAGCTGTGGTTTGGTAGCTTGAATGAGCTGTTGGGGAATGAGTTGTTGTCAGATCATGTAGTGTGTGACCCCCCCTCTTGTGGATCATTCACAGAGTGTTGTGTAGTGTGAACTCCACAGAGATTAAAAGACACAAAGTCAAGTCATGTAGTGTGAACGGCACAGCGATCTGCTGATGTTTAAAATCCTGTAGTGTGAACTAGGCTTAAGGGGACTGTAACCAGCCTACTTTACAAAACTGATCTTCATTGTGTCAAAATGGTATAGCTTGAGTGTTTTTTACTTTGAACTGTTTACTAACTTCAAGACATTTTCGGTAGTTCAGTTTAGTTGCGACTCGAGAGCATCACATTGCATACTCACCTCATGAGCTTTTATGATGGTTAATTAAATGGTGCTACTTTTGAAAAGCTTAAACATAGCAAATAGAGAATATAGAGAGACCTAATAATTAAAAGGGCACCTATTTTAGGCCTTTTTTAACATTTAAAATAAGTATTTTGTGTCTACAGAGTGTGTCTGTAAAGTTTCAGCTCAAAAAAACAAACAGATTATCTAATCTAATTATCTGGGATTTAATGCCACAAACCGGGATTGAAGCGTCTTCTTTTATAATTGTACTGACATGTGGCTGTGGTGATGAATTACATAGATTTTACCATATTTACTTTATTACAAACATGCACTGTTTAATAAATGTACAAATAAACTTGTAAAACTCATTCACATTTGATGATGATTGATGATCACAGAGAACTGAACAGATCTTTTAATGCCAGTTGTTTTGCGCTTGTCCTGTCTTGTTAATATGATTATACGTGTTATTGCGGAAATATGTTAATGCGTGGCTCCTACGCTCCTACATCACGCTGCGATGGGTCTCAAAATGGGAGGGATTTGGATCCTATTTTAACGTCAAGAAATTTAAAAAAACTTACAAAAGATGATTTTCATTATTAGTGCTCTTTAAAACCAGCAAGCAACAGTAGCAGAAGAATATTACTATTAGTCAATGTTGTCGTTTACAGCGAATGCTAATTATGTTACATGTGTGCACTGAGCGGTGAAAGTTTACATGTTCTTCTGATTTTTACCTTGGTTTCAAAAACAAATGTTTGTTGTTGATTTATTATTTATAAACAAGTTCTGCTTCTTAATGTCTTATTGTCAGCATAAGTATGTCTTAATTTCATAATGTGGATATAATATTAGTACAACACTTGCTTTGTGTTTGTTTATATTTTGGATATTCAGCGAAGTTTTAATGTTCAAAAACAAATTAGTTTTTCATTTAAAATGTCAAAAGTAAATATTGTTAAACTCGATATGCGGCTTGTGCATTTTTAAGTATACTTTCATACATAGATAATGCTATCATATACTTTATGGTTTACATAGTTATAATCAGCAAAACATCAAATTGAAAAAGTATTTTGTTTTTATCTGATTAAATGAAAAAATAATATCATCAAAATAATCTTAATTGCAACCCTATATATACTATAGGTGTAGCTTAATCAGATTTGCATACTTCTATAGTTAATTGGACAAAAAATAAACAATATACTTGCAAATAATCTGAGATATACTTGGGCGACCCTTTTCCCTGATTAAAAACATGCAGGACAGGAGAGAGTTTACTGTTTACTGTTAAAATACTGTTTTTGCATACTGTATGAGAAAAGTATAAAGCTATTACGAAAAAGCAATGGCTTATGTAGAATGTGAGTGTTATAAGGGTAAACTAGATGAGTCACTTAATGGTTGCATGTTGTGAAACAGTCAAAATGTCTTTTTCCTTCGATTGCACATCTACACACTCAAGCATCCCATGAGTCAGAAGCCCCACGAAAACAGTTTTTACCATGGAAGTCGCAGGTTTGGCGAATTATCACACTTCAACCGCTGCTCAAAACCACCAGCATATTCATCATTCAAACCCAAAGCATGACAGAAGGAGAGATAGATAAGAGACCCAAGCCTTTGTGGGTTACCGCACATTTTTCATAATTAATGCTATTTTCAAAGCATGTACTATGTCTTTAATGATTTCCTGCTGTTTTACTGTGTGAGACAGTATTCTTTTAATGTTAGATCAGAAAATACCAGAGCCTTAAAAAACCTTAAAAAAACATTGTACAGGTCCAGCGTATAAGAATTATGCTTTTCTGCGCATATACAATGAATGAATCATTTCTTTCAATGTTTCCAGTTCGTTGCTCTCATTTGGCTCAGCAGACACTCATTCAGATTAGGAGTGTGTGGGAGAGCTTTGGGACCTCCCTAAGTCTGTCGGCTCTGGGCCAGCAAAAATCCAACTTCTAAGATTTTGTGCAGTTGGTGGAAGACAAAAGTTAGAAATAGATTGTCACATGTAGCAAGTTAAACTGTATTTCTATGATATAATAATCAGCCTAGTAAAATATAATAATAAAACCTTTAAAAAAAAAACACCAGTGTAGAAGCCATTTGACAAGCAGCGACAAATGTTTAAATTAAGTTTTGTTTTTTTCAGTTAAATGATGTAATAATAATAATAATCAGAACATCTTTGTCTCTTTGTTCCTTCACCAAACAGTTTGAGTCTCCTGGATCTAATGGGTGTGAGATGATGAAACAGGGATTCACTCCATGTTAAAGGAAATGAACAAAACTAATGTGCTTCTTTTAACAGAACTGTTACACACTACCAACATATACTTATTTGTACTCTGATTTTCTGATAACTGATTTTCTTTGCTATTCTTTTGTTTTACGAGTTCACACTTTTCAAGAGTTTACACATGTTTGGCATGCTGTTCTGGGAGAGAGCCCTGAGCTCATAAGATCCTCTAGCCCAGGGCTCCCTCCCGTTTGCAGGGCGAGAGCGGAGTTTGAGAGCTCCCTTGCTGTAGTAGCTAATGAACAGATAGTTATTGTTCTTAAGAGATAACTACTTTCTAGGAGCATGTCTATGGTGCTGATTTGGATTAGTTAAGTCGAAGGATAATAAATAAATGAATGTTTAGCAAAAAATAAAAAGCATTAACAACAATAGAAGTGTAATATAAAACTATAATGACATTTTTATCATTTATTCATTTTCTTTTTGGCTTAGTCTTTTTATTAATCGGGGGTCGCCACAGCCGAATTAAATATCAACTTATCCAGCATATGTTTTACACAGTGAATGCCCTTCCAGCTGCAACCCATCACTGGGAAACATCCATCCACACTCATTCACACACATACACTACAGACAATTTAGCCTACCCAATTCACCTGTACCGCAAGTCTTTGGACTGTGGTGAAAACTGGAGCACCCGGAGGAAACCCACGCAAACACGGGGAGAACATGCAAACTCCACACAGAAACGCCAACTGACCCAGTCGAGGCTCAAACTAGTGACTTACTTGCTGTTAAAAAAAGTTTTTTAATATATACAGTTGAAGTCAGAATCATTAGCCCCCTTCGATTTTTTTTCTTCTTTTTAAAATATTTTCCAAATGATGTTTAACAGAGCAAGGACATTTTCACAGTATGTCTGATAATATTTTTTTCTTCTGAAGAAAGTCTTATTTGTTTTATTTTGGCTAGAATAAAAGCAGTTTTGAATTATTTATAAACAATTTTAGGGACAAAATTATTAGACCCTTTAAGCTATATTAAGCTATAATTCCCCTAACTTGCCTAGTTAACTTAATTAACCTAGTTAAGCCTTTAAATGTAACTTTAAGCTGTATAGAAGTGTCTTTAATAGTAAAATATTATTTACAGACATGATGGTAAAGATAAAATAAATCAGTTATTAGAGATGAGTTATTAAAATTATTATGTTTAGAAATGTGTTGGAAAAATCTTCTCTAGGTTAAACAGAAATTGGGGAAAAAATAAACAAGCGGTCTAATAATTTAGGGGGGCTAATAATTTGACTTTAACTGTATATAATATAATGTTATATTACCTATTTACTTAATAGGTACAGGTACATTAAACATATTTTTTTTACCTAAATATTTCTGACACTTTGATTTTACCCCAACAGAGACACTACTTAATTTAATATGCTTTATACATGTCTAAAAATCACTTTAGTAAATTAATTGATTGTGAAAGTGACGCATTTCATCTAGGAACCTATTTATTACCTGACTTTTATTTTTTATCAGTTTGTTCCCAGGTAGAACTAAATATAAAAAAGAATGATGCCAAGAGAAGAGTTGCCAATAATGTTTCAAAATTTGTTCAAGGTAACAGAAAAGCTTTTTTTCATGCAAAAAGTTCAACAAATGCTGCTGACCCAAAAGCCTGACACATTTGTTGCCTCAAAGACAGAGCCCAGTTTCCAAGAGGATGAATGGATTTTTAAAGGCACCTCAAAAGTGAGGGCAAATCCATTTCCAAAAAAACAGTCAGGGGAGAGAAGGCTGTACCTGAAACACGCCTTGACATGACCTGCTGGCCAATCAAAGCTGGCACATCATTATCAACCTCCTGGCAAGACAAAAATATAAAGAGTCGCTCTTTGCAACGAGCTGGCCTTTCTGTGGAAGAGAACGCCCTGATTCACACACTTTTAAAGTTGCAGTTTACATCTTCAACACACATTAAAATTCCAGATCTTAATTACTCCAAAACATCTATATTTCACTATCAATTATGCATCCAAATGGGTTACAAAACACAATAAAAATTAAGATTCCAGAGTTTGTATTAAGCTGTTCCACAATGTGTTCCAACAACCAAAGTTTCAAACCAAACCCACAGAACTTCTCACGGTACATTGTTGTGAGGGAGAGAGGAGAGCCTTGTTCCTTGTTCAGAATTTACATTATGAAATTCATATATACACGAGAGCCAGGGTGGAGGTGTCAAAACACAGCTAAAGCACTTCCAAATCTCCATTTCAAATGAAAAGAGCTGACACGGTGGTCTTACCGGAGAAAAAATGAGCTTTGAAGCCTTTCTTGGAGACCGTGTTGTCTGATTTGAACTCGATTCGCATGTTGTTGTACTGGGAGGTGATGACCTCAGGAACTTCCGTGCCGCAGTATTTCCCATGAAGCTTTGAGTCAGATGACAAGCCGCTCCGCACCTCGACGTAGTCATACTTGCACACCTGCACAGATAAAATATACAAATAATACACTGATAAACATCCATCCATCTTCCTGTCTGACTGTTTGTCTATCTGCCTACACAAACAATTACCACACTGGCACACACACAAACACAGTTAGAGAGTGTGTGATCTCACCTCATTTCCCTCCAGCTCAAAGGCTTCAAACTGCATGGATATACGGTACTGAGTCGGGGCCACTACTTGCCACACACAGTTTTTGTTGGGAGGGTATTCCTTAGGCCAGCCTGGGGTGGTAATTGTGCCATTCAACTTAGTCAACAAACCGCCACACGCAGCTGAAAGAGAAAAAGAGTGAGAAGAAAGTCTATGAAAACACAGCGAATTAAAGATTCTTTTTCAGTTATTTGCCAGTGTACAGATTAATGCCAGGTTTAGGGGGCGATCATACCGAAAGCTTTTTGCGTTGAGAGGTGCATCTTTTAAATGGTTTACTAACGGGTGCAAGCGTTTTGTGCGCTGCTTATGTGCCCTACCTACCTCGCATTTTAACTGCCTGCTGAACGTTGCGTTTTTGCCGTTGCGCACTGTCTGCTTGCAGTTAAAAAATATTCAACTTTGAGTTACGTTACGTGTTATGTTAGTCACATCTTTTTCATTCTCCAATCAAATGAAAGCAAAGGCGGGGTTTCCGTTGAGGTGACAGCAGTATTTGTGTTGTCAAGATGACTAAGGAGACTTTTAAAAATGGAGGAGAGAATAGTAATCGCTGTTTCAAGTTATCCAGAGCTGTGTAACTTTACAAATCTTGCTCCTTCTGACTGAGTCCCCACCCCCTAATGCCCAGCTTTTACAGGAAACTATTTCTGGTCAACACATTGTAGACTTGTTCTTTCTGTATATAAGATTGCACTAGTGTTGTTGTTTTTTTATTTATTTATCTATCTATTTATTATTATTATTATTATTTGCTTAAAATACTTTTCAGTGTATTTGCTTATTGTTACATGTTTATGTCTTTGAATATTTTTGTAATGTTTCACAATGTATAAATAAAACATAAAAAAACAAATCTTGAATATCAAAATATTCTTAAATATTACAATTATAACAATATCAACAGCAACAATCGCGCACAATACGCAGCTGATTCAGTTGTTGCCTAGTGACATGAAAAAGCACACCACGCTTCTTTTTTTCTTGTCAACAAAAAAAGGCGGTTGTGCTGCTCTACGCGTTTTTGCCGTTGCGAGGTGTCTGCTCACAGTTGAACAAAGTCACTTCTTAGCGGAAAAAGTATGTTACGTTAGTCGCGTCTTTTTCATTCTGTGTTGTCAAGAGGACTACAGAGATTTTTAATGACGGAGGAGAGAGTGGTAATCGCTATCTCAATTTATCCAGAGCTGTATGACTTTACAAATCTTCAATATCACAATATTATAAAATATTACAATTATAACAATATAAACAGCAACATTTGAGCTCAATACGCATCTAATTCAGTTGTTGCCTAGTGACATGAAAAAGCACACCGCGCTTCTTTTTTTCTTGTCAACAAAAAAAGGCAGTTGTGCTGCGCTTCACGTTTTTGCCGTTGCGAGGTGTCTGCTCACAGTTGAACAAAGTCACTTCTTAGCGAAAAAATTATGTTATGTTAGTCGAGTCTTTATCATTCTCCAATCAACTGTAAGCAGAGGTGGGGTTTCCGTTGAGGTAACAGCAGTGTTTGTGTTGTCAAGGGGACTACGGAGATTTTTAATGACGGAGGAGAGAATAGTAATCACTATCTCAATTTATCCAGAGCTGTATGACTTTACAAATCTTCAATATCACAATATTATTAAATATTACAATTATAACAATATAAACAGCAACACTCAAGCACAATACGCATCTAATTCAGTTGTTGCCAAGTGACAAAAAAAAGCACACTGCGCTTCTTTTTCGTGTCAACAAAAAAGGCGGTTGTGGTGCGTCTTGTGTTTTTGCCATTGCGTGCCGTGCGCTCGCAGTTGAAAAAAGTCACGTCTGAGCAAATAAAGCATGTTACTTTAGTCACGTCTTTTTCATTCTTCAAATCAAATGAAAGCAAAGGCAGGGTTTTTGCTGAAGTGACAGCAGTGTCTGTGTTATTAAGATGACTATGGAGACTATTATAGACGGAGGAGAGGATAGTGGTCGCTGTTTCAAGTTATTTAGGGCTGTATGACTTTACAAATCTTGAATATCACAACATTATTAAATATTACCATTATAACAACATCGACAGCAACACTCGTGCACAATACGCAGCTGAATCAGCCGTTGCTCAATGACATAAAAAGGCAGTGTGGTGCGCCTCATGTTTTTGGAATGTAAACAAGTGTGTGATCAGCCCCTTAGACTACACATTGTTAAACCTATTTGGGCATAATTTCAATGACAAATTGTGATTTGTAAATGACAATGGACCAATCAAGAACCAACTGGTTTATTTTGTACAATGGAAGTCAACCAATGAGATGTTTACTATATGTGTATAATTACTATCTATTTGTTTATATTTTACATTGTATGGTGTCAGTTGCTAGTTCTGTCTTCTCAAAGACATTGCACACCTCTTACAAGACAGCAAGCAATAATTAGTGCAATGTGTCATTTGTATGTTTCTTGTCTACACCATGCAGAAGACTAATTATTTTCCTCTCCATATGTACTAGGCACTTTCTTATGAACACTACATTTTTGAGAGCAAAAAATATATGTACAGTATGCACAGAGAGGTGAGTTTGCAGCCCACTCCCCTGCGTAGTTAAATTCAGAATTTGCTAAATGTATGTTTACCTATGTATGAGTATGTATGTACATTTCCTTGACAAAACTCTTGTCGCCTATCCAAGTTTTAGCAACAACAAATAATAAATTAGCTTTGCTTAGACAAAAGTTTTGTCACTTAACAGAAATAATGTACAGTATGGAATATAAAGTCATGGTGCAGTTGACAAAGAATGAATATTGTGTATGACTCCCATGATCTTGGAGGACTGCATCCATAGTCGCATCTCTGCAATGACTCAAATAACTTCAATCAATAAAGTCGTCTGGAATGGCAAAAAGGCATTCTTGCAAGACTCCCAGAGTTCATCTAGATCTTTGGATTCATATTCAATACGTCCTCCTTCATCTTACCCCAGACATGGTCAATAATGTTCATATCTGGTGACTGGGCTGGCCAATCCTGGAGCACCTTAACCTTCTTTGCTTTCAGGAACTTTGATGTGGAGGCTGAAGTATGAGAAGATGCGCTATCCTGCTGAAGATTTTGCCCTCTCCTGTGGTTTGTAACGTAATGGGCAGCACAAATGTCTTAATACCTCAGGCTATTGATGTTGCCATCCACTCTGCAGATCTCTCGCACGCCCCCATACTGAATGTAACCCCAAACCATGATTTTTCCTTCACCAAACTTAACTGACATCTGTAAGAATCTTGGGTCCATGTAGGTTTCAATAGGTCTTCTGCAGTATTTGTAATGATTGGGATGCAGTTCAACAGATGATTCATCAGAAAAATCTGTCTTCTTTTCCAAACGATCAACTAGTTATTATATATATAACTATATTATAGTTAATGATCAAGTTATTATTTGTTGCTCTTAAAACTGGGATTGATGACAAAACTTTTGTCAGGTAGTGTATGTATCTGTGTTTGTATGCATTTATAAACTGCTAATCTAGCTTAGACTTATCATAGCATCTATATATTGCTGCACTTTGGGGACTTGAAGTGCTTCTTGTCTCTCATTTGTACTCACTTTGGATAAAAGCCTCTGCTAAATGAATAAATATAAATGAAGGTGCTAAAATCTCATAATCTAAAAAATCATCAATCATAACAGACAAAAATAATGTGTAGTCTGAACTTGCTGTGATTTTTTGTTTGTTTGTTACAACAACACACTGTGTTTTGTTGATGACGTGACAAAACTCCTGTTTTTTCAGAGCATGGTATGGTCCAAGTGCTGTTCTTGTTGTTTTCCTGTTGACTGCGGATGTTTTCCTGAAACATTCAGTTTAGGCTAAGCATCCGCATGTTTGAGTCAGGCAGTCGGATGCACCTGTGTGCACACACACACACTCTTACCTTCACAGCTCTTCTTGTCAGGAGCCAGTTCATATCCAGGATCACATGCACATTTGAAGCTTCCTAATGTGTTCACACATCTCTGTTCACAGCCTCCATTATCTGGCTTCAGACACTCGTCTTCCTCTGTTTTAATGACACAGACACAGAGTTACATCAGATGAATGGATGAGAGCCAACACATCTGCACAATGTGTGCGTGTGTGTGAGCGTGTACCTTTGAAGAAGTTTGCAGCAAAGCCTGCTTTATTAACAGTCCCATCAGAGACAAATTTCATCCAGAGGTTGTTAGAGGTAGAACGAATATCTTCAGGTTTATCATAGCCGCAGAATCGACCAATCAGAGGGCTGTTCTCTGACAATCCATCTCTAACCTCCAAATAGTCGTATGCACAGCTGTCATGCCTCTCGATCTGCACAAACAAAGGCATAATACACTAAGTGTTAATGGCATTAGCATGTCTTTGGCACCTTAGGTGTCAGTGCTAGGAAACAATCCAAAGAAAACAGGATCTCAGGCGTCTCTTATAGTATAAGCCAGGCTCTTAGGTCTGCTACACGTCCTGCTCTTTATAGATTATATGCGTGCAAAAGAAAGTGTGATTGTGTGTATGCAAAGGCAGAGAGTGTGTTTTCGTTTCCTCTGAACAATTCGACACCTTTGACCCACTGACACACACAATGGTGTGCATACATAGTTATGACTTGTAACGACATTCTGACGTTTAAATGTAAATAATCAAACGTGACTGTCTTGTGGTCTCACGTACCTGCAGGCTCATGGAAAATGGGGTTAAAATGCATCTATAAGTGTGTATATACCATAAGAATAAACATAAATCTGACTTTAAACAGCACACATGTAAATAGTGACGTCTCGTTTTTGAAAAGGCTATAGTGAAACAGAACATGACAGGTATTATAAAAAGAGTACTCATGCAGAAACTTCACCTCAAAAACCTGAAAGCTTAAGCCCACGCTGTAGCCCTCAGACACTGTGATCCTCCACACACACTCCTTAGATGGGCGATAGTCATCTGGATAGTTTGGAGACTGAATCTGTCCAGAGTCCTTACTGATCTCCCCTCCACATATTGCTAGAAGATACAAGGAGAAGATAAAACACTTTGTTTTGTTTGATTTTTCATTAGTAAAAAATGGTCTTATTTGTGTATCTAAACATAAAACTATTTGTCAAAATTAGGATGTTAAGATTTAAAATATTTTAATATTTTTTGTTCAGCCCTGCTCATTTCTTCCATGATTTGGTTGTCTAAGACATTTTTGCCAAATCCTAAAATATTCCTTAATTCCTAAGCTAAAATCTATCATCTTTGATAGTTGGTTTGACATGTTTACTAAGTGCTTCTTAATGGCCATTGTGATCAGATTTCAGACACTTTCTGTCACGGTTGTGGATTCATCTGCTCCTTATTTGAAGTGTCTGCGTTGTGTGACAGTTCATTATTATGATACGTGTTTCTAAGTATGTGTGCCTTTCTCTCTCTGTGTTTGTGTGGGTGTCGCGTGGCTGTCAGTGGGTGTTTGTTTTCATGTCATCAGCTGAGCGGTCACATGATCTTTGTTACCGGAACTGTTCAGTGCCTCCAGCCACTCACCAATTTTCTGTCTATTTGTGAGAACTATATTAAAAGACTTTGTTTTTCTTGCAATTGGGTTCCTCATCTTTTATGTCACGTGACACTTTCAATGTGATTTCAGCTACAAGGAGAATCAAACTAATAACCAATAGATGCGCTGAAACTGATGACACAATCAGCATGCCAACTTTAGATGGATGAAACCAAACTTCAGGAGAGTTTTTTCTGTCTGTGTTTGGTGCATCTTCATTGTCATTCAATCCAACATTTCTTGCAGTCTGACGTGAAGATCTGTGCAGACTGACAAGCTTCAATCATTTCATCCCTGATTTGGTCATCTAAGACAAATTTGGAAAATCCTAAGCTAAAATTTGTTATCTTTGATAGTTGGTTTGACATGTTCAAGGACAGCTTCTTAATGGCCTTTCAATATGGTTTCATCTATAAGAAGCATCAAATTAATAACCAATAAAACCGCTGAATTTGATTGCATCAATCAGCATGACAACTTCAGATGGATGATACCAAACTCTGGGTGAGTTTTCTTCAGTCTGTGTTTGGCACACCTTCATTGTTGTCCAGGGGTTTGTTTCCCAAACAATGACATAACTCGCGGCTGAACTATTATAGTAAGATGCAGTGGTTTCACAGATACATCGTTTGAACCTCGTCAGGTATAAAAAAAAAAAATCCAATATTAGCTTTGGTAAAAACATGCACTCGTTTTCCACATTAATTTAAATATTTGTAATCGACACATACAGGAGTTATATATGCTTCCTTTACAAATATTGTTGAGTATATTCCATACAAAATCACTTAGCTAACACATATTCTAATATCATATATAATTTGTTAATGGTTGTAGGCCTAATTTACAGTAGGCTATTTATTACGAAATGAAAAAAAATCCTACCTAATAATAATATTTTATTATTATTATTAATATTAAGTAGGTTTTTTTTTTTTTAAAGACTACTTTGACACATTTAAACCACTGCAGATGTGTATATATATATATGCGTGTATATATTTGTTTGCTTGTTTTCACAAGCTTTGGAGCGGTAACATAGCCTAAATTCCACTTTTAAATAACAGGTCACCTATAGCTTTTATCCTGAGCCACAGCTGTGTTCAAAATAGCATAAATGTTTTCAAAGTGCACTACGAAGTGAGCGCAATTGTCAATATGAAGATCGCTAAAACTTATCTGTAAAAAAATACTTTTCTTTTTTTTTTTAGCAAATTACACCTAAGAAAGATGACTTTAATGTTTTTTATTATTATTATTCCAAGTTTAAATGTTGGAACATTCAAAAGGAATAGGACATGGGGGATAACGGGGAATAAAACACAACCAGAAACTATGTTGGTTGGTTAACGAGGGTTTTCGGAAACGCACTTCAGTTTGACATTTCTTACAGTCTGATCTAGGGATTCAATCTGTGCAGTCTGACAAGTTCCAATCATTTAGGATAATTAAAAATTGTACAGTAAAGACTACCTTTTATTTTAGTTTTAAAAAGATCAGAAGTTAAAGTTGTTACTTGTTTAATAGCCAGTAAAATGCACGTAATCTGATAGTGTGTCTTGATGCTGATTTCCACCCGTTATTAAAAACAAAAGAAAGAGAAATAGTTTTGGCCAAGTTTTCTGGTTGCGTAGGTAAAAATCTAATGTGAAAACACACACCTTCATAGACTGCTGCAAATCCCTTTCCAACCCAGTTGCTGCTGCTTCGAAACTCAATCCACATCCGACTGTCTGTAGAGACCAGAACTTCTGGAATTTTATCACCGCAGAACCGGCCTGCACAGATATACACATATGCACACGTACACAATAAAATGTAAATGATTTTGCCCCATAAGCATGCTTTGCACTTGTCAAACATGTAATTGCTTAATATATTCCAGCAATTATATACCCAGCAATGGCGCTTTTCTCCAGTATCCGTCACGAACCTCAATGTAGTCATACCAGCACAGGCTGCTCTTGTAGAGGTCCATAGTGGTGAAGTTTAACACTATCTGAAATAGGCAACACATACACATCAGAACACACATACTGGATCAGCATTTTTATCATCTACAACCTTGTAGTGAAGACAATTACAGGAAATAATGGGTTGAAGATTGCAGATACAGATGAATGCAGAATGGCTCAGTGCCTCTAGAAATTTCATATTTAATACAGACAGTCTTACCTTCTCCCCAGGTGTGACAGAGATCCTCCATACACAGTGTGTATATGATGGGTATCCATTAGGATATCCTGGAGATGAGAAATTCCCCACTGAGTCCTGTAGTGTTTCGCCACATGCTTGAGAACAAGAGCAAGAGACCAACACAATAACAAGAATAATATGAATAATGAGTGTACATACAAAAAAAAACATTCAAAAATATTAGTAATTCCATTTATAATATAACGACTTCACATGTCAGAAAAAATAAGTAATTTCAGATTCACTTCAGATTCAGTGAATGACTTAGTGCAAATTAACTATATGATTAGGGCCAGACAGAAACTGCAGACAGCGAATATTGTAGATAATCTGCAGATTTATGCAGAATGATTTTAGGATTATCATAACTAAAACTTAATATTTAAAATAAAAAAATACAATTTTAACTTTTATTTAATGTTCACAAAGCAAATCCAATTAGATCCACTTGTGAGGTAAACAAAGCAAGTCTCTCATATAATATATCTACTAAAAGACTATAATATTACTGAAATTAATTTAAAAAATAAATAAATATAAATTTAAACACATTTACACAAGTAAACAAATACACTCAATTATGGGCTAAAAATCTGTGGATTTCGTGTCAGCCTACTTATGAATCTTTTGACCAATTGACAAAAATAACAGACATCAAAAGAGGGATCCATTAATGGGACTACAATGTATGTGCTGTATGTTCTTCTTTATCTGTGTAGTCTGAAAGACAGCACAACAGAAAGATGTCACAATTTGGCTATAAGTGCTTGCGCCATAGTACCATATGCTCAACAATGGCGAAGCGCCACCACTAAATAGCAATGCAAGAAACCGATACACACACACACGCAATAAAGTAACAAAGACCTATTGACTGTCCTAATGAGATCTCAGGAGCCAAACAGTGCAGGATCGGAGAGCATATTCTCTGTTCAAGACAAGCCAAATCTTCTGCTAACATTGGCCAAATGTTCCTCCCAATTAGCAATGTAGCGGTTGGCCAAACATTCGCCTGAGAGGCCTCTGTTTTCAGTCAGAGCTCATTTAACAGTGGTTGCATATGGAAGTGCTTTTGGGTGTCAATTTCTAGGAAATCTGAATATAAAGTCATAAGTCACGCATTTGATAAGCTGTTACCTTTAGCTTTGATGAAGAAGTAATTGTACAAGTAACTGTACTGTGGTGTTAGTAACTGTAATATGGACAGGGTTTCAGGCGGCCGCTGGGATCAGATACAATATCAAAGACCCGGTGGTGTTACAGATTGTACCAAAAAGCTGAGGACCGGGGGCAGGGTGAAACTATAGGAGTTTTCTAGGATAAATAACAAAACGGGAGGGTGGCGGGACATGGGTCTAAAATACATAAGCCTCCCAGGAAAAACGGGAATGTTGACAGCTATGCTGATAACCTGTATGTAACAGCAGAAATATGAACTTTGGATTTAGAACAGTGTTCACTTTCCTCAAATAAAAAAAACAGATTTTAAGTGGAATGTCCTAGCAGCTCTTTTTTCCATAAAAAACGATCAATGAACATTTATAAAGTCAAGAATGAAAAATAATTAAATAAATAAATATAATTAAGAGAACTGGGTAAGATAAACTATGTACATTCATGGGACTTTTATTGTGTTGTTTGTCTTTTTTGTTACCTTTCTCTTCACTTACAATAAAGCAAATAATCTAATATATCTTCTCATTTTGTATTTAATGGGAATAAAACATGACTGGACATTAGTGCCAGGCACGTGCACACATAGGGCTCAACCTGTGCAGTGCACATGCCCATTTTAGTATTGGATAGAAAGTGCCCTTCAAAAATGATCAAAAGTGCCCTCGCGACGTGACACACCCTCCGTCCCGCCCTTCAGTAGGCGCACGACAACACTGCTCTTGAGTACGCGCGCTCAAACCCCCTCCCCCGCTTTACAGTACGCGCACGACAACACAGCTGATCAGAACGCGCGCGACAACAACACCCCCCCTCCCCCCCGCTCTTTAAAAAGTTTATCCTGTGCGATTAATCGAAATCGAATCGCAATCGAAATTTGAAACATTGAGATTAGTTAATCGCAAGAGGCAGCGACATGAAATATTGTTTCATTTCCCCACCCAGAGCAAATTAGTGACTTTCGTCTTTGTGTGACAGTCTTACTAGCCAATTAAGTGAGCTCATGTTCGTTTTGCCCAATCAGAATTGCACAGCTGAACTATGTGAAACGCCCACAATAAAAAAAAGAAAACAAACAGGAAAGCACAGGCAAGTGGCATAATGGCGTATGCTGCTTCAGAAGCATTAATAGACAAATGAATATCAAAGAAAAACAACATTGGTAATTTGGGAATATTTTGGTTTCAAAGTCAAAGACACCGAACAAAAACAGGTCATTTTTAATAGCTGTCGCAGAATTGTCGTCATTGACTAGAAAATTAAATCGCAAATCAAATCACAATATCTTTCAAAATAATAAGAATAAAATAAATAAATAAATTTTTTAAAAATCGCAGTTAGATATTTTCCCCAAATCGCACAGCCCTACTGGACATACTTTCCTGAACAATGAAAGTGGTCATTTAGTTCACCAATTTTGTCACAGACAGTGAATATGGTGGAAAGAGGAGAGCTTTGTCTTTGTATGTGAAGTAGGCCATGCGTCACGCTTTTACACACACACACACACACACACACACACACACACACACACACACACACACACACACAAATATGAGTGCATGAACTCAAAACAATACAACAGTGAAGAAACACACTCATATGCCATTTGCATGGACACACACACAGACACACACACACACACACACACACACACAATCAGTAGAGCAAGAGGGTGCTATCATGCTCTTTGTCCCCAAAATGTCAGGGTGGCCCTCCTCTTTGCAGGGTTAAAAGGACATCCTTACACCCATTTGCCAAATAACTTGTTCTATGTATGGTTGCAATTTAGAGCTTTTAAAAGGTGGAGAAAACACCAGAATGGAGAGAAAATAGAAACTCCAACAGAGATTTGAATGGCTCAGCCAGGACATAAACCAGAGAGCTTCTAGCTGTGGTGCAACAGTGTTACCCACAGATCCGCCGCAAAAAAAGCACATGTGTATCATAAAACTGACAAAAAGCAAATTATATCATGCAAGCTAACACACATGCATGCATAATATTATCAGGAGACACTACTATGCTCATTAAGTGTAGTCTTCCTCCTGTCGTTTGCACCTTTTCTCTGCCTTAAATTAAACTTTCTCCTTCATATAAACACATGCTGTAGGCCTACCTGGGCATCTGTACAGCTTCTTGGCTTGCGATATATCCCCTTTACTGAGCCTGGTTCTCTGACCAATAGCAGGCCTGACGCCATTCTCGTCACGAGAGGGAAGAATCGTGTCCAAAAACATTCCTCTGCGGAAAAGAAAGACAAAAGGGAGCGTGCATAAAAGAAAGTTCTGAATTAAATTACTGAGTGTGAAATTCCGTGTGTGTGACAGAAGTCTCACCTGGAGAAAGTGTTTCTGGCATAATGCATGATGCTGTCAAAATCATACGGCTCACCAAGAGAGTTGACATCCCCTGGTTCCATCTTGATGAAGTTATACTCCTGACCTGAGCGCACACAGATACACTCGCATTTAAACAGATGGGCTACACTCACAAAGCCAGCGCTTAGGATTGAATTCTGACTCTTGAAAAGTCATTTTTATGCAACAATTGCTTAAATACAGTCTGTGTGAGAAAATAACTGAAGTTAAGTATCTTTTCTATTCTTCTGATAACCATGAATAGTGCCTGAAACCACTGTGACACTAACTAAAATAAATACAGAGGACAGTAATTTCAATAACACTGAAAATTCTTAACATAACTGACACAATGTTATTCAAACACATGTCCAAAGCGGAAACTCAAATGTTAATTTCAAGAGTTCACACTTGGATATGCTTGACACTAATAGCAGGTTTGGCATGCTGTCCCGGGAGAGAACCCTAAGCTCGGAGATAATTAAGCCCAAGGCTCCTGCCTGGTCAATAAGCATGTAAAGGAGTCCAAGATCAGGTAGGTCCTGAGAGTCCCTCCTGGTAAAAGGAGTAAAAGGAGGAGATGGGGTGGAAGGAGGGATTATTCCAAAATGATGATAATGTAGTAGGGCGAATTTGGTCTGATTGGATTATTGCTGATTACAGATAAAAGGCCAGCTGCGATCAATCATTTCATGTGCTCCTCTCAAAATTAGATTATAAAACTTCACTTAATGGCATGGTTTGTGCTGGCTTGAGTGGTGAGAAACGACCAGAAATCTTGTTCACTATATTTAATAAACATATGTACATGTATTGATCTATGTGTGAATACAAGCCTATATTACAAACTAAATAGTTTTTATTCTTATTTTAGGTGACTGAATAAACTACTTGATTTATACAGCTCTTTTGAAAAATTTTAATAATTGTAACAGAAACCGATAACAAAAAAATGAATATTAGAGGAATATGAAATATACTCTACTAAATATAACAGATGTATTTATGAAAAAAAAAGTTAAATTTCAAAAGTTAATATACTGATGTATTGATGACACTATTGTCAACTGAATGACTCACAGCTGATTTTATATGCGTGTAAAAGTTGTTTATAAATCCTTTGTTTATCCTCTGTAATTAAATTTCCCACAGTATTTTTTATCAGCAGCAGGGTGTATTATTAATGGACTCCTCACCGGCTTTTCCAAAAAGACAGTCAGACAGTTGCAGCTCATCCAGAACGCTGCTGTCAAGATTCTGACCAAATCCAGGAAATCAGAGCACATTACACCTGTCCTCAGGTCTTTACACTGGCTCCCAGTTACATTCAGAATAGATTTTAAAAGTATTACTACTTGTATATAAATCACTAAATGGACTAGGACCTCAATACATTACAGATATGCTGACTGAATACAACCCTAAGAGATCACTCAGATCACTAGGATCAAGTAAACTAGAAATTGCAAGAGTTCAGTCAAAGCAGGGTGAATCGGCTTTCAGCTACTACGCCCCCTACTGCTGGTATCAGCTTCCAGAAATGATCAGATGTGCTCCAACATTAGGCACTTTCAAGTCAAAACTGTAAACGCATCTGTTTAGCTGTGCCTTTACTGAATGAGCACTGTGCTCTGTCTGACAGATCGCACCATTATGTCTTTCTTTTCTTTTTCATTCCTTTTCATTCCAACCCGTTTTTAACACATTTTAATCTGTTTTTATTCCTTGCTGTTTTTATTTTCTTTTATTCCTGTTTACCTAAAGCACTTTGAATTACCATTGTGTATGAAATGTGCTATATAAATAAACTTGCCTTGCCTTGCCTATTCATTTTTTAATACTCCAGGTTCTGCACATTAGTCATTTTTTAGCATCTATTACAAATCTGAGCCCTTACCAATGATGACTGTATGATTTTGGGTTGCATATTTTCACACTGAATACAACTGAGGATCTTGTACAAAACTATTAAAAAGGGTGAAAACATTCACCAATGCTCAAGAAGACAATATAATGCATTAGGAGCCAGGGGAGTATCAACGGAAGCAAATGGTCAGACTTTGACGGAAGACTTTTAGTAGTATGTCCAAATTCATAGAAATTGAAAAACAGTATGTGAGAAGTACCCGGATGCATACTTTAGAAACTTGTCGGAAGTAGTAGGTCATCCGGGTACTTCTCACATACTGTTTTTCAATTTCTATGAATTTGGACACTTCGCTTTCCCATAATGCGTCATGGGAGAATTTATAAATAGGAGTGAATCGACGTAACTGATGTGTGTAGGTCATGTGATGATGACAAAATGGCAGATGTAGTCCATCCGAGTTCCATCATACTACTGACATTCATATGATTTCGGACAGCCATGGACTTTAAATTGGTTTAAGCTTAAATAAATTTTTGAGCTACCTGGATTATATAATGTCTTTAACAACAATGAAAATTTTTAATATGAACCAAGACTGGAATCCATGTGAAACACAGCTGTATTTAACTAGAAGCTCCTCTGTAGGATGCAGACTTGAAGACTTCAGTCATGCATTACCTGGCTGGATGTTGTCCCGGATGATGGTCACATGATCGTCACGGTCAGGTCGTGTGTGTTCATGCCAAAAGCCGATCACATGCCCAAGTTCATGAACCACAATGCCAAACTTGTCACAGTTTTTCCCTATAGATATTGCCTGGGGACCATTTCCACGGCGACCGACATAAGAGCAACACCTGCAAAATCCCAAAAAATAAAAATAAATAAAATAAAAAGGGTTAAATCTCAGTCCTAAAAAGTGATCTCAATGAAAAGTTAACATCTTTTTTTTTTGGTTCCCTCCACTCTCGAATAACTGTGGTTATGTCACAGAAGTGCCGTGATGACTGTCTGTAATAAGGGGGTGATGGGAGGTGAACTGGGCAAATGTTCCGTTGTTTGGGATGTTGTAGTTTACTGCAGGGTGAGCAGCGGATTGAGTGAAATGATGAGAGCTGATTAACGCTGATTAGGGTGAGTTAGGGTTAGCATTCAGATCCTTGCTGTGTTGTTTCCTTAACAACAAATAACCAAGCATTCTTCACCTTTGACCGAGTGCCACAGCAATGAATCGCAGGACAAAGAAAGAGGGGAAAAAATGAAAACAGGTGGGTTCAAGATTGAGTTCCAAAAACAGTGTTTTACACCTCAGTGTGATGCTGATTAAATTGTGCTGTACTGTGTGAATGGTGAATAAATTTGGCACATTATGGGGAATTGTTTCCGTTACTGTATTTACATAAGCCTGCAAATCCGATTATTGTTAACAACAATATTGCAAGCAGCCTCACAACCCTGCAAGGTTTGTGCTCTAGCTATGCTTTCATATGTCACCGGTTAATGCAGTTTATTTCATGCTGTAGATTTATTTATAAGCCATATGGGATTGACTATGCTCAGTGTGGCAATGCGGTAATTGACAATGCTGTAATATGATTTGCCTTCAAGTGAATGTGGAAGAATTGTAATTATGAAAGACAGACAGACAGACAGACAGACAGACAGACAGACAGACAGACAGACAGACAGACAGACAGACAGACAGACAGACAGACAGACAGACAGACAGACAGACAGACAGATAGATAGATAGATAGATAGATAGATAGATAGATAGATAGATAGATAGATAGATAGATAGATAGATAGATAGATAGATAGATAGATAGATAGATTAAACATGAAACATTTTAACGACTACTAATTACAATCAGAAATTTTCAGCCAGTATAGACTTAATTAATCCCTTTTCTGTGCACACTGAAAAAAATGATTCATTGGATTTCCTACATTTTTTAAGGTAAGTTTTTGTAAACAATTTATACGGGCTGAATTTAAACAAACAAATAAAATTTTGTGATTTTCAACTTGATTTGTTTGTTTAAATTCAGCTTATATAAATTATTTGCAACGATTTGCAATGAAATATTTTATTTCAGTGTGTGAGCCTCAGAACAGACTTGGTTGTGTGACTCACAAGTTAAAAACTACCGATCTAAAGTCCTATTGCAAGCACTATCGTTGAAAAGAATGCCAAGATATAGAGTATGTTTTTGTCAACACTGCCCTATTTAATCCATGCGTGTATTGTATGCATGTGCTGAGTTAAGCAGGTGAGAATATTTGGCACATTAAGTTAAACTGTTTTACTTGCTGAGTTTGTTCAAGCCTGCAAATCCGATTATTATTAACAGCAATATTTCCAGCAGCCTCACAACCCTGCTGGCTGTTATTATCAAGCATTAGTTGCGATATGTTCATAAAGTTGTCAGCATTAAAATAAAGTGAATGAACACTAATGCAATTTTAATACCAGGTGGAAACATGGCCAAGGAAAGAACAAATGTGCAAAGAATTCGTGGAGTGCAGACTGAATAGTATACAATTAAGCATGTCTCAGACCAGTGTTCATTTCATGCTGAAAAATTTTCGTCAAGATTTGTGATAAACAAGTTTTTATCAATGAAAACAAATTCAAAATTAAGTGATGACGACGACGACTATAATAAAAATATACTGCCATTTTCGTTGACTAATAAAAACAAGACAAGAATGTGATTGAGGGAAAATATCTAAACAGAATTAATATTAGTGTGTGTCGCGTGTGGAAATAGCTGATAAAAACAACAAATCTAAAGCGACATCAGCATGCCAGAAAATCAGGTAAACTCAGATCTTTTTTTTATTTAACCATGTGTGTGCGTTTGGTTAACTGAAACGGTGTAGCCTCTTGGTGACCTTTAGAGAATTTACTCCCTTAGATTGTATATTAAAAGTTACTACATCGGTCAGTCTTAAATTCATATAAGCATGGCATTCTGTTGAGGAGTTGTTTCCTCGTATGTTTCATTTTAGCTGCGGCTACAGTTTAGCTAACCTCTAACTCGCGCTAGGTTCACGCGCTGTCTGCATCTGCCTCGATCGTCATGACAACAGCTATTTACAGTGTACCTTTACCACAAACAAAAACTGCTTTAGGGAACTGCTTTATCACTTTATTTAAGTGATTATTTCTTTTGTCTGTAAGGATGTAATGATACTGTTGTGCTATAAGCTCTACTTATCAGGGAGTTGCATACAACATACAAGATAACTAAACTGCCTTGAAGTGAAGCACACTTTAATTTTGACGTACATTTTCGCTTTATATTTCTTCTATGTGAGTAAACAGAGCCATGGGACTGAGTGCACATTTTACAACATAACACATTATCATTTGCCAGGCATATGTGAGACCAGACAGAATCTGCAGACATTTTTTGCTATTTCTGTACAGAATTTTGTAAAAAAAAATCAGCAGATTTACATTAATAATGTTTATGAATATCATAACAAAAAACGTAATTTATGAAATAAAAAACAATATATTTTTACTTTTATTTAATGTTTACAATGCAAATCCAATAAGATCCACTTATTTGGTAAATAAAGCAAGTCTCTCATATATCTACTAAAAGACTGAAAATATTACTTGCTTTATTTACAATACACACTGTATTGTAAATAAATCACACCAACACTTTCATATTAGTCAATAATATTATTGAAATTAATTTGAAAGCTGAATAAACAAATTTAGACACATTTACATAAGTAAATGAATAGACTAGATGCTAAAAATCTGTGCAAATCTGCGGATTTCTGCATGTGCAGATTCTGTGTGGGCCTAGTCATATGTCATTATTGTAACACAAACTACGACAGTAAAGCTTGCTATAGACTGACATTGCAAAGTGGACTTTAACTATTTTAAGCCCTTTCAAAGATTTAATGGCTTAAAACTGTTCAACAGATTGGTTAAAAAGACATGTAGTTCACCACATTAAAATAAAAGAGTTTGCTAAATGATTGCACTATTCGGCATGGCTATTGCAGACTTACATGTGAACTTATTGCCAATACATAATTTAACATATTACTTATGATAAAAATAAACAATGCAATTCTAATTTGTGGTCTTCTTTGCTATATTCAATATTTTAATAAAACTGTTTTATTTAATTTTAAGTCATAATATTTAGTTTAAATAAATGTATACAATATTTAAATAAATTACGATAAATTAAACCAAATATTTATATTTAGTAAACTAAATCTAGGGTAGATTTAGTCGACTAAAATCTTATAAAATTTAGTTGACTAAAACTAGACTAAAACTAAAAAAAAATGGAAAAATGTATGTATTTTAGTCAAAAGAAAACTAAAAAACTAAAAAAAAACTAAATTAAAATTTGCTGTCACAATTAACATGGTCTCAGACACACACTCAATCAAAGCAGTAATCTCTATTCTAGTCAGTCACTATTTATAACTTGGATTAGAACACCTTAATCCCTCATTTCATAGCCATTGATAGTGTGGAGTAGACACACACAGAAAGTGCATAAATAAACCAAAGCAGCCTCAAAATAAAACACATTCATTAATCTACATCATAACAGGAGAATTCAATATTTAACCAGAAATACATTTTGAATGTAATTTCTTTTTCTCGAATGCTGATTTGAATGCATTTATATTGCAAAAAATTGAACTAAATAAAACTGAGTTGAAATCAAATGATCTGAAATTGTCTAACTAGTGTTTTAAATGCAACCAATGCACATAAGCAAATACAAATAGCTAATATAAACATTCCATTTTATGCATAATTGTGTCACATATCCAAGCCTGTCAACACCTTCTCAATGTACAAACATACAGACATATGCTTAAAAAACCACATACAGATATGCAGAAAGTGAGCGCTCGGTGCTAGTGATGGTCTGTCAGCAGATTTTAGCTGAATGACGTCTGCTGATTATAACTGATATGACCGCAGTGAGATGGATAATATTATGTAATGCTCTCATTACCTCTCTCCCCTCTGCTTTAATCTATCCTCGTCCTTCTGCCAGTGGTCTTTCTGTCTATTTCTCTGTAATCTGTCTGGATCTGCCTCATTATTTCATCTCAACTTTCATCAGCATCATTCCCACACAAATTACTGTACATTTCATATACAGTAGTTGGGTATAATATCATGTTTTACAGCATAAAGATGAGCTGTTTCTGTATAATTTAGCATGTATCAATTTATTGTATAGGCTAACCTTGATTCCAAAATGACTACTAACTATAATCTTAATACAAGATAGAAAAGGGCTAGTCTGAGCTGCGTATTTCCTTTTAGATTTTAACATTTTAAACAATTGTAATGACATAATGTGATCCATTTTTGGGCAGTATAGACTAGAGTAGTTTATTTATCTTCTTTCTAACATTTATAGACTTCTACTTTTGCTTAAAAACCTTCTTATTGGCTGACGTATCAAATTAAATATTTTCCATGTGATCAAATACTCAATTAAAAAAAAAATTTTATACATACAAACGATCACCAACAATATGTTTATCTAGACTTCTGCGATTTCCGTCTTCCCTTCTCTTTCCTTCTCTCTTCCTTGTTAACACACTGTTAGGATTCCATTCCTAAGTGGAACAATGGGTGGTTTGCTCACCATGTAACTGAAAAGGAAGGAAAGCTAGGCCGACTGTAGTCATCTCAGTCGACTCTCACTCTGTCGTTCTCACAAACACACACATACCTTAGTTTCAAACACGCTTTACAGGATACACTCATAACAATGAGTGTGCTGCTTGATGACCCCCAATATGTTTCACTAAACCGCTTGTGCACCCAGTCCATGTAAATTAC